ATGGGTGTTCCAACACTTCCAAAATGAATTTTATTCATGTTGTCTGGGTTTCAAGGGAGATTAGTAGGTGGACTTTGTTTTGGAGTTCCGATATTGTTTGACGACCACCTTAAAAACGTTTACTTCAATTGTTCCCAGCCATTTGACTTAAACAGTGCTTGCCATTGACTACCATCATTAATTGATAGATGCTATCATGCATAGTGATATCGGCTTCTCCCTTCCACCTGTAACAAATACCAGCATTCTTGCTCACTTCTACGCAGAACAAAAGGTAGACAGCAGAAACATGAATTCCCTATCTAAATATGAAGTGCTAATAAGACCACCACGCAACGCTAGAGACCTTTGCCAGCTAGCCAACAAATTCCCTATCTCTCAATAACAGCGAAGTGCCATCTATAAAAGCAGACGTTCGAAGCTTGACAATAAGAAGATTCAACAGCATTCTTTAATTGTGTTTTGGTTTATGTACTGCTTCTGTTAATTCTACTTAATTTGTTCTCCGATATGTACGTAACCTTTTTTTTCAGTACTGGAGAGTTTAGTAGCGTGCTCGGAGTGCAATGATAATAATTAATTAAAAATTAATACAAATATTAAAATATTAATAAAAGAAAACTGATTTTTCTAAAATATTTCGTATGTATTTTCTATAATTCTTCCCGTTTTTAATTTTTTCAGAAATCAACTATCCTCAACTGATATTTTGTTGGAAGAGATACCAAGGGAGTTACTACACTCATGAACAAAAAAATTAGCGCATCGAGAAATAATTGCTGGATCGTAACGAAACTTGGCAAGAAGTTACATGTCGGGGAGATATGCAAATGATTAGAAATGCAGCGTAATTGCGCATTACATATAGCCGGTAGAGGGCGTTTAACGTCATTCTCAGTAAAGTATAAAACAGGTAATCAAAGCTTGTTTGAGTGGGCTGAATCGTTTACAAAGCAAGAGCTGAGATAGACATGTCATTAAGCCCTTTTTGAAGAAAATAGGAACAGCTGTCGCAGTTTGAGAGAGGGAGAATCATCGGCATGATGAAAGCTGGGTGGTCAGCTAGGCGAGTAGCTCGTGAATTAGGCTGCTCTGATTGTGTTGTGAGGAGGTGTTGGGACTAGTGGATCCGAGAGATGTAATTTACACGAAGACCAGGCTTAGGACAGCTTTGACAGACCAGTCGTCGAGAAGACCACCACATTGTAAGAAATGCACGCGGACAGCCAACTGCTTCATCAGTAGCCATCTAGGCACTGGTACCACCTTCACTAAGGGCCCCTGTGTCTTCTTGAACAATACAAAGGTGCTTGGCTGAAGGGCATTTGGGATTGCGGCACCCATTACGTCTGCTGCCCTTGACGCACGCCCATCGACGCCTCCGTTTGGAGTTGTGGCATGCACGAGGAAACTGGACTGCAGCGGAATGGAACCAGGTCGTCTTTGATGATGAATCCAGATTCAATCTCAGCAGTGATGTCAATTGTGTTCGTGTGTGGAGACTCTGCGTTGAACGCCTCAATCCTGCCTTTGCTTTTGAGTGACACACCGCTGCTACAGCTGGTGCGGTGGTATTGGGTGCCATTACCTCCAATACACGGTCACCCCTAGCATTGATCAGTGGCTCCATGACAGCCCAGCGGTATGTCCATGACATCATGTGTTGCCACTGATGCAACAGCTCCCAAGAGCCATTTTTTCAACAAGACAATGCTCGGCCTCACACAGCAAGGGTGTCACAAGATTGTCTCCGCACTTTGACTATCCTTCCTTGACCTGGCCGATCCCCAGATTTGTCTTCAATCGAGCATATCTGGAATAATTTGAGACGGCGAGTTGGGCATCTCACGAGTTTGAATGAAGTAGAGGCAAGGTTACAGAAAATATGGAACGAAATGTCTCAACACATCATACGGAACTTGTATGTCTCAATGTCCGATCGTATCGCGTCGTGCATTCGCGTTTGATGGGGTTCAACTGGGTATTAATTCCTCCGTTCTTTTGCCTTTTTCTCTGAAATAAAGGATCCTTTTTCTTTGATTTTCGAATCATTTACTTATATTAAGGTAATCATTACGTATGTAAAAGTTCGTTTCATTTTGACGATTCCTTCTTGGTGCGCTAATTTTTTTTGTCCATGAGTGTATTTTGAAATGCAAAGAAATATTGTTCATTTATAATTTTGTTTCAGTTTTTATACCTTCATAATGGAAAAGTGGCTAAAAATAGGTATCTAACGTCCAGAAAATGAAAAGAATGACAAAGCAAATGAGAAAAATAGATCAATATCTAATAAGCTTAGTAAAATTGTGGTCGAAAACCAAAACAAAAATACGAAAACAGTGGCTTTATTTCTACTTCAAAAAATATCGAAAGAAATGCGCTATCTAATAAGAAATTTAGAAAATATCAAGAAGAGTTTATTAAATACGGATTTACATTTTGCGTTGCTGATGGGAAGAACGCCCGTTGTGTGTTAATTGCTCGGATAAATTAGCAAATGAAGCTTTTAAGGGGGTTTATCCATGTGATGGGTTCAAAATTTCGAATTTTTCTTTCTTTCATAAATCGCTTCCTTAACATGTCTAGAATACGGTGGTTTTGTGAAAAAAATTCTGCTGTGTGTGTGTGTGTGTTTATGTAGAAGATTCGAATAATTCAGGTTGCTTTCTAATATGTTCTCAGACATATAATACAAATGTGTGAGGCAACCGAGAGTTGGACAATTTTAAATTTTGAGTTTGGAGCGACTATTGTAGTTTGCGCTAAAGCGAAATATACTGCTACTATCAATAGCATTAGCATGGTTTCAATGTGAAATTATGAGCCTTTTGAGTGGATTTGTAGAAATATATGGAAAAGAAGCGAGAAAGACAACACAGAGCAGAAAAAGAAAACTGAATATCAATATTATTTTTTTTATCCTTGACACCAAAATATTGACAACAGTTTTTCTAAAAATATGCAAAAGTTTCATCGCGTAATATCAATTAAATGTTTAACGTTACATTTCATGATGGACATCAACTTTTCAAGAAGTTTATACTTAACTCTTTATAATACATATTTTATACTGTGAAATTTTCCTGTAGCATTTTAAATCAATTCTTAATTCAAGAATCCGTTGTAAGAACCAAATATCAGTAAAAATGCGTTTCTTGCTGATAAATATCCATTGAGGTATTGTTTTTTCTTCAGTGTTTCGTCTATTTATTTACTATTCCTTTGGTGTAACGGAATTTGTCATTTTCAATCAGTGTCAGTCGACATGAAGCAAACTTGATTCAACACTTTCCTCTTTTTACTGCGACAGTTTATGTTTCTTTCATGACTCAAAAGATTTTTGAATAAAACTACGAACAAAAGCCTTTCTTTATTTAAGCATACTAATGAAATTGAGACAAGAATTTGCAATTCATTGCTTTCCAATTGGTGGTATGCCTCAGGGTTTGAATAGGAGAAATAGAAAAAAGAACAAATTGATACTACTCTCTTTTATCATAAAATAGAAAAAAGATCTGGTTTAAGAAATGAATGGATAGATTGATAACTTCAGACTTTACTTTTTGTTGTGCTTAGAGACACACTGCTCTAGAGTTTAAGCTGTGCAAGTAATGACCATCAAAACGCGTACTCTTTATAAACATTGGAATCTCTAATAAAAACATAATTATGAATACAAAATATTAATAATTGTTTAACTGTTTTATATAATAGAAATTGCAAAGATGATCGTACTTAATTATCTTATTGGCTCAGTAAAACAAATAGTTTCCCTTAAGGTATCCGACTACGTTCAGAAATGGGATTTTAAAAAGGCGCATATATGGATATTTTTCATGATATTTAGTGTCACTTAGAGTAGAATACATGTATAAAATAGTTTTAAGGACATTTTGACAAAAAAAAATTATTTAAATACAATATTTTGGCTAAAAATTAACTTAGGATAACCTTTTTTCAAAAGGTTCTCCTTTTGTGAAAAATGCTTCTATTATAATAATATTTTGCCTGTATATAGCTCAAACATCTGTACAGAGGTTCAGCTATTAGTTTTGAAAAACTCGGTTTATTTTCGGAGTTACAACCATTTAAAATAATTATCGGCGTTTTTTTCTTAAAATTTCTCCCATCTGTTGTCGTAAAACATGGATAAACCCACTTCTAATATATTTCAAAAATTCTAGTTGAGCCTCTGTACAGAGGTCTGAGCTATATACAGACACAATATTATTATAATAGAAGCATTTTTGACAAAAGGAAAATATTTTGAAAATGGGTCTATGTTCATTTTTTGTCAAAATATTGTACTTAAATAATTTTTTATTATAATACTATTTTCTCTTAAAACAATTTTATACACATTTTCTAATCCAAGTGACACTAAATATCATAAATGTTATCCATTTATGTGCTTTTGCAAAATTACGGTCTGAACGTAGTCTGATACCTTAAACTTTCGTTTTAATAACAAGATAAACCAAGCTAACTTTAGGACAAATGTTAAATTTTTAAATGACATTAGGTACATGATAACAGTCATCAAAATTCCTTTATTGGTAATTTTATCTTTCGGCGAATATTTCTATTTTTTTTTACGAAATATGTCAAGTACTGCCAAAATGTAGATGAATTAAAAAGATTGACAAATATAGTGAGAAAACTACTTTTTTCTTAGTACTAGGGAAGGTGACCACACCTGCGAAAAACGCGTGCCGTTGGTATTTTTTTATTTCCTAATATTATAAATTGAAAATTCTTTTTCAGTTCTTTCTATTATAGTTCACGTTCTAACTATATATATTTATTTATAATTCTTCTTTAAATTTTGAATCGTTAATTAAATGATTTGTATTCATCCAATTAAGTTCAAATACATTTTTTTTAACTTGATGTTAGTACAATTTTTTCATATATTAATTTTTTAATTATAAATTTAATACTTATAACATTAACTGCTTATGCTGCTCTACCAAAATGGTCGAGTTGTTACTGCCAACGTACTTAGTATGCTGGAAACATCAGTTCTCGTCCGATCACCGAAGTTAAGTATCATGGGACATGGTTAGTACTTGGGAGGGTGTTCACCTGGGAAAACCGCGTGCGTTTGACATTTCTTTATTTCCTATATTAAAAATTGCACAATTCCTTTTTCTATTCCTACTATTAGTTCACTCTCTCCGTATATTATATTTATTTATGTATTGTCTCAAATTTTTAATAGTTGTTAAAAATTTTTTTATTCATCCATTCAAGTTCAAATATATATTTTTTAAACTTGTGATGGATGGCCATCTACCAAAGTGGTCGAGTCGTTTCTGCCAATGGCCATACTACTGAAAACGCCAGTTCTCCAGTGATCGCTGAAGTTAAGCTTTTACCAGGTGCGGTTAGTACTTAAGAGGTTGACCACCTGGGAACCCCATGTTCCATTGGTATTTTTTTAATTTCCTATTATATTAAATCACAAATGGTTGGAAGAGTATGTAATCTAAAGCACACCAGCGAAGAGCGTTGCCAATAACGAAAAAAAAAAGTAGAAAGGAAACAAATATTAACAAACAAAAGTAATAGTTCAACACCATATATAAGAAGGAAAACTATGCAAGGAAAATCGCATTCTATTTTGTCACTTAATATTGTGATTCTATCATATGTATATACATATTTATATTAATTGCAATTATTTAGTGATTAGAAAAAAATATCAGGTACAGTTAAAAGCTCCTTTAGCATTAATTTTTTTTTAAAAAAATCTTCTTTTGGAATCACAGTGCACGATACAGTGAAAGATGGGAGAAAGCTTGGTTTAGATTGATTAGACCAGGGGTACTCAACCTTTTTTTCTGCTTGGCCGCATACATGATGATAAATTGGGGAGGGGGGAATCCTTTAAGACCAAGATAACATTGGAAATTTAAAATGTGGAAAATCGATCAAAATATTATAACTCATGTTTTTTTAATTATTTTTTTTATATTTTTTTATCTTTGTCACTAACACTAAATTAGAAGCATTTAAGAAACACTCCTTCACAATTTCTGCATCAGTAAAAGGTTTCATATGATTACGAATAATGTAACAAACTTCGTAGGATGTCTTTGTTACCGCTGTGATATTACCACTGACAAAACATTTTGTTGCCGTTGCAAAGATTATTCAAGAAAGCCTATTTATCATTCCTTGAAAGAGATCTTAGAGGAAACGCGCTATTGAATGAGATATCAGTTTATTGGTATTTTTTAAATTCAGTCCTTTCGTGACAAATCAAACAATTACTGATCCATGTTTTTCATTACAAAATAGCCATCCTCCCAATCATCTTGAAACGATATATTCTCATCGAATATTTCTCGCTTGCAAGATATAAAGGATAGTTAAAAATTAGTTCCACCCATAAAATTGTCGCTACTCCACTGTTGTCTGTTTATCACTAACAGTAACCGTTCCAAATAGAAAAAGAATATCTATTAGTATCCGTACAACACCGACAACAAAAAGTAAAATTAATATATCTGATTTCTTGACAAAGAATTTCCCACCAAATTTTTAATGCAATGTTCTTAAATAAGTAAATTTCTCAGAGCAGTGGGCCGTGACCGGGCCACATAAGAAAGCCCGGTGGGCCGCAGGTTGAGTATCGCTGGATTAGACTATGCGGAGAGAAAGACAGAGAGAGATCGTGTTATGAAACGTTGAAATGTACATATTGCTATTCACTACTCAGTTGTCATTTTTAATAAGCATCGCTTTTAGTTATTTATATTGTAGAAAAATAATTTTATTTTCAGTCTAAAATCATCTAAACTAAATTAAATCCTTTTCCGTTTTTTCCTTTCGAAATTTCTTCATCTTTTAGGAAGTACTAAATTTTTAAGTTATTTTTATATTTATTTTTATTCTAAGCTCCATACCTTCGGACATTTCCACATAAGTAGGTTCTGATTAATATAATAATTTTTTTCTTCATATAACTACGCAGTATTGCTTAATTTTTGAGAGTGGTCAAAACGTAAATTTTTTTGATGCATTGGTACCAAAATCTGCAATTTTGTTGAAAGCCTGGAAGAAAAGTGAAATAGATTAACTAAGATTTTCAAAAAATGATGAAAGTTTTGAAATGTATAACTTATGTTAAAAAAGCGTGTAAAAAATTGTCGAGGCAATATCGCTTATGGCTTTATTAGTCCATCAAAATGAGCTATATTGCGATGCGTGCATTTAGAGAAGCAAAAAAGGATTTTTATATTACTTTAGCCCTTCAGGTTAAAAGATAGTGAAAAATATAATTTCAAAATGAATGTTTTACGATTGAGGTAATTGGTATGGAAATAAAACAAGAAATACAAAAGAAAATTTTTTTAATTCGATTTCTGCTTAGGTCAAGAATGAAAAAAATTTATTTTAATTATTTTTCATTAAATAATTACGATTAATATAAATTTGCCCATTGAAGTGCCACTGAATTAGGGATAGCAAGAGCTATGCAAATTGTATAGCGCTGCGCATCATTTATGCGCAAGTGAGGGCAACTCCATGGGGTAACTCCATATATAGAGCGTACTGTGGTTGTTCTAAATTAAATGTTGGAATTGCCAGTATGGGTAAACTTCCTGATTTAGACCCCTTCGATCGCAGAAAAATCGTAGGTGCGCGAAGCATGGGCCATTCAATTTCCGAAATCGTCAGACAGCTAGGATTTTTGCCGTCAACAGTGTCAAGCGTATACCAAGAATACATGGATGGTGGACATAAAACTAGCAAACTGGCAAACTACAAAGAACAATTATTCTTGACAGTGCGTGGTGAGAGATGGCTCAGGCGTATTGTACGTATAGCCAGCGAAGCCAAACATTAGCTCAAATTACCACCCAGTTGAATGACGGTGCCAGTCGTACAGTCAGTAAGCGTTTCGGGTGCCATCTCCCTAACAGGGTACCATTGTTCAATGTTCGCCATCGGGCTTCACGTCTTGCCTGGGTAAGAGAGCATAGAGACTGGAGTGTAGATGACTGGAAACGAGTAGCATGGAGTTCTGAGTCTCGATTCCGATTACATAACGCCGATGGGAGGCTGAGAATATGGCGTCAAGCTCATGAAGCCATGGACCTCGCGTGCCAGGTTGTAACTGTACAAGGGCATGGTGGCTCAATCATGGTCTGGGGTGTTTTTTCGCGGCACTGTTTGAGATCTTTGGGGCATGTACCAAACTCCCTCATTCAATTCAGTACGTAGAGTGGTTGGGTGCTCACCTCAATTCCGTTTATGCTGTTCTATTATCCATACGGTGATGAAGTTTTCCAGTAAGACAACTGTACCTCTTATAAGACCCGGTTGTCTACTGGCGGGTTGGATGAGCATTCCTCTGACTTTTCTGTCATAAATCGGCCACCTAGAAGAAGCCCGTACTGAAATACTATTGAGCTTTTTTTGTCGAACTAGGCGTGAAAGGCCATCTCTCAGCACCAACGAATATTACTGAGTTATGGACAGCTTTAGCCCATATTTGGCTAGTCATTCCAGTGGAACGTTTCCAGAAACTTGTTGAATCTATGCCTCGTCGTGTGGCAGCCGTTATCAAGGCCAGAGGAAGTTCAACTCGTTAATTGGTTCGTATCCCTAATTCAGTGGCACTTCAGTGTATATACATATGACAAAATCACAATACTAAGTGGCAAAATAGAAAATGATTTTCCTTGCAATTCTCCATTTTTCTTTATATATATAATGTTGGACTATTATTTTTGTTTGTAACTATTTATTCACTAATTAAATATAATTATTCCATTAAAATAGTACAGTAAAAAGGAATCACATTTTCAGAAGTTAGGCTATCTCAAGTGGGATTCGAACGCACGACCTTTGGATTAGAAGTCCAACGCGCTATCCATTGCTCTACATGGACAGAACGAGTGATTTTCCTTTTTATATATGGTGTTGGATTATTATTTTTGTTTGTTACTATTTATTCATTAATTAAAATATTTAAAGAATTGATATTTGATAAAACTATAAATCAGCATCATGTGTCATCCACTGCAAGTATAAAAAAGTGTACTTGAACTTGAGTGGATGAGTAAAAAGTTTTTTTAGTAAAAGTATTTTTATTAAAAATTTGATCAATATATATATATATATATATATATATATATATATATATATACAGGGAGAGTGTGAACTATAATAGTAGGAATTATGTGAAAAATTCCACTGTTATTAATATCAATTAGATGCCTCACAGGTCTGGTTGGTTATTTTTAGTTCTATCATGACAGAATGTATAAAGAAATAAATGGGCAAGATATTCATTTAAATGTAAAAATAATTAAAAAAAGAATTGATACATGCACAATTATATGTATTATGTAGTACATTATTATGTAGTTCTACTTACAAGATCTTTTTTTTTCTTTTTTAGCAAAATCCGTTCTTTACGCTCTTCTTCAGTGAAATTTACTATCGAAACTGCATAGTCCAACACATCGTTGATAAAGTACTTTACATTTTGACAAACCTGCAGCTCCTGCCATTCCATTGATTGTTAATAATTCATATGAGACAACGCTTTTCTTCTCTGGCAACGATTGCAGTCCATGCAATCGTTGTGATATTTTTCTGCGAGAATATACAATACTAATGCAATCGTATTGGCGACATTATATGAAAGGAAGCACATGGTTGCCAATTCAGCGCATACGACATATGGGAAATCGGGGTTGCCAACTTGAACGTTGGCATTGTTGCGATAGAGTATGTAATAAATTTATTACATCGCCACGGATAAACTTTTTTTTTTTGATACTTAAGAAGATTCACCGATGAAATGTACTCAGTTTTAAGTTCTACCTTAATTTTCTAAGAGTTAAACACTATACTTATAGCATATTTTACATTACCCAATATTTTAATATTTATTTTGAAATGTTCCTTATTTTGTGAAGACGCTAGGGAAGAGGTCCGTTAATTTACATTTTTACAATTCCTTACGAGTTTTGAAAAGCTAATTTGAATTCAGAGCTCCAGGCGGAGCTATTAAGAAATTAAATTAAGAAATAAATATTCGCAACGAAATACTCTCAGGAGCACCGCAACACTTTAAACAGT